TGGTATGTGTGTATGTGCATGTGTATGTGTGTGTGTGTGTGTGTTTTTGTTACCCACTTTTTACTTGGCAAATGGTGAACCTAGGAACCTAAAGCTTCTGCAGCAGTTCGTGCTCTGTGTGCGTGCTGCATTTCCGAAACCATCGTTCTCCTAGGCCTGGGTTTTGCGTACGGGATCAAAAAATTTATGCATATTTTTCGGCAGGAAAGCGATTTCGGAAACCATGAAAGCCGAAAAGCTCGAACTTTGCAGGAACATTATGTGCCCTTATGTGAAAAAAAGATTTTAAATTCAGCTGGAACGCACACTTAGGTTATGAGTTTGGAACATCAAAGTTGCGGCTTCGCAATAGTTGGCAAAATGTCAACTCGGGAATTAGGCTAAGACGTTCTTCTAATTTGCTGAGAATATTTGCTGTATACGTATAAGTACTTACACGTGAAATAAGCATTCGGATGTATCAGTATAACGCGTACGAGCATTTCAAACCATTTTTTTTTTGGTGGGAGGGGGCAAGGGAACGGGGAGAGGGGGAGAGGAGGCAATTTTGAGAGTTAGCCGTGCTAGGAAGCTGAAATTTTCTTGGGATTTGATGGTGCGTGACAGGTACATTTGAAGTTTACCTTACACACAGGTCCAGATCTCGCTTACGGGCAGGTGTCACTTCCGATAGAAGCACTGTTGTCATCCATTTAACTGGCGATACAAACATCGTAGGCAGCGGCATTTTTGATGACATCCGTTGTTCATGTGCAAATCGTACGCATAAAACTAGCGTGTTTGGCTCATGTTCATTTTTATCATTTATAGATAAAGGTTTATTCGAAGCCGCGCTCAACCAACGAAGCGAAGAGAAGCCAATGTAACTCCTCCATTCAAGAACCGAACCTGTTACCGCGGACGATTCAGCGGGCCACAATTTCTGTATTTTTGTACAAATTGGTAGTATTCGGAAGTGTCGTAGCATTCGATCAACGATTTGGACAAGAAGTTCATTGGCTCTAAAAGCTGAAATCAACAGGTTAACAACTTTCACTACAAAACAGGGTACACGTAACGTGAGCGACCCTACGTAACCTCCATGGTACTGTAGGAAGCGCATACAAAATTTAGGATGTATCATTTGATTTTTTCTGGATACAAGCATCAAATATTATAAATTCACTAAGTTTAAACGATGGTATTAGGAATTGCGAAAATATATCTTGCAATAGCAATGAAATTTTTGAATATTTTCTTACTTCTCTTTAAGTTTTCCAATCTGTGTGCGTGGAAATGATAGCAAACGAAGCATTCCGAAATATTAATTACACATTCAGAAATGAAGATAACCGAGCTCACTTACAGTCATCTCTATTTTCATATATTCTTATTTAAACAAACAAAGTAAGCAAACATTTGGTCACACTTAATGTTTTCAACAACGGTATAAAGGAAGTTTATTACAGATATGCAGTAGTATATTCCTGTTTGCGTTACAAGTGTTGCAGACTTGGTGGCGTGATGTAGGGGAGCGGGCACGCATTCGCTACATGATCTGCTATAGAAGGTAGAATCGACGAGTGAGACATCAGTATTGCATCGGTGTCGTAAGTTGTGCAGCAGCACCACACAGAGGCCTTTGTTAGGGCAGCATGTCGCAGAAGACGCAACGAAGCCGGTGGCGGGAAAACCCAAAAATTCTACGGGAGTCTAATGATATTATAATTTATGAGTTTAGTTCTGTTATCTAGGTGATGATTTTGTAAAAAGATTTGTAGAATATTGCCGCAAATTATTACTTTTTAGAAAATATTCCTTTGTTTAATTGTAAGTTGGTAATTTACGTTAATTTTTCACCTAAGTTTTACAAGAATTCTGAAGAATTTCCTTACTTGTCACACAGAATTAAAGAAGGCTAAAATGTATAAGAATTTAGATCACCCTGAACTTTGATTCCTAAGCTTGTGTAAAAAGTGACAAATTTTATCATTCTCATTGTTCGACAGCACTGCCTGTACCACTTTTATATCTGTTTTTGTAGCAGTTTAGTAATATAGGATATAAGCAAGGTGTAAGGGAGGGATGATCCCTCAACTGTAAATGGAAGTATTTAAGCCATCACAAAAATCTGTTTTTCCATGCCGGTGATTAAGGAGGGGTTCGGATGTTACGAGCTGGTCGGACATTCGAATGTTCCGAGAATCAGTGCTGATCATTTGTGACGTTGCCATACTTCCTTGTTTATGACATCCCGGCTTTGTCAGGGCCTTTTTTGTTGCCCCGTGGATCAGCATCTGTGCTTGGGGAGGTGTTCTTTTTATCATGTAAGTGAGCCTTAGCTCGATATAAATCAGTTCAGTCCCTGCCCCATTTCTCCTCTCAACGTCGACCCAGGATCGCGTCTCGACTTCCCCTGGCTCCACACCAGGCGTCCTTACACACCTCACACCACACACACTGTTAGGAAAACCCGAGAGTTCTACGAAAATCTACTGGTGAATGTAAGAATTAGTCCCAGTCCCATTTTTTCTCTCAACGTCGACCTAGAATCGCGTCTGGACTTCCCCCGGCCCCACACCATGCGTGTCGCGTTAAGCAGTGTTTATAAAACAGTTTTAAGTATTAATGATTTATGTTCATGTTATGTTTCTCGGTACAGTTTTAAATATCGATGATTTATGTTCATGTTATGTTTCTCGGCAATTAATTATCGCTTATTTTCGCGAATATGCACATATGGTGATGTTTTCGTGATGTGTTTTCGTAAATATGCACGTGTGATGTTTTGTCAAACATGAAACATGTTGACAAAACGGGCAGTTGGGGTCAAGGGTTGAGGACGAGGTGGCAGTCGGCGACAGGACTGTATTTTGGGTACGACGTGAAGATGAGGTGGCGGATTCGGCAGGGCCGTGGCGATCGGGAGGACTCATTGAGATTTAGAACCAGAGGCCTGATCTTTCGGCCGCTGGATACTTGTATTATCGCCGCTGTACGACGATATTTTTGATTTGGCACATTGGACATCCTTCTGCTTAAACTTGAGGTAACGATTTGATCGTTAAATTTTTGGAAACTATCTTAGGATTACGAAGAGCCCAGACGAATAAGACAGGAGAAGAATTGTTGCAACCACTGAACCACCGAATTCTTCACTCTGAATCTCGGAATCGGAATTCGATTCCGCTATAAATTTCTTCCCCAACAATGCGTCCTTACACACCCCACACCAAACACACTGTCCGGAAAACCCGAGAGTTCCACGAAAATCTACTGATGAGTGTAAGAATTAGTCCCATCCCACTTTTTCTCTCAACGTCGACCCAGAATCGCGTCTCGGCTTTCCCCGGCTCCACACCACGCGTCCTTACACACCCCACACCAGTACACTGTCGGGAAAACCCGAGAGTTCCGCAAAAATCTACTGGGGTAAAAATTCTTTTTGTAAGAATTCTTTTCCTCACCATTGTCAATTTAGAATGCTATTTGTCGTATAATAGATCAAATAATAATTAATGTTTTTTGTTAAGAAGTAGGTTAAAGAAAAACTGCGTTACTGTGACGCAATACCCCTGTCCCTGGTTCAAACTTTGGCCATCCTACCCTCACTGAACTTTCGGTCTTTAACCCCTGGGGTATAAAAGTACTCCCCCCACTGCCGGGATCGCCACTACCCATCAACTACTGCGACCTATTTTATTTAGCTTCTACTCCTGTTCTGGGAAGCTTCGGCTTCCCAGAGCCTTACCATCTTTGTTTGTATTATTTCTTTAACATGCTATGTATTAATATGTATGCAGGACGCGCCGTCGTACATGTTGCGTTAAGCAATGTTTACAAAACAGTTTTAGACATCGGTGATATTTTGTCGCGAGCATATGGTGTCGAGGAAAAGCGCCTCGAATGGAAAATAGAAAACAAAAGAAGCAAAAAGCGAATCATAAATTATACAAATTTTTGTTTTCGCAGTACCGTAACTTCCTTTGTAATAACGGTGCCGCCGTCAAACAGCGGCACCAACATCAATCATGTATGCAATTTTCTTTGTAAACTGGACCTAACTGGAGCGAGGCGGAGCTCCAGGTGGGTTCAGCTGCCGATTTTTCCGGCTTATTTTCTACTGTTAACATTTTGTCGACGCCGACCGGACGCCGTGTGCGGACACCAGTACGCCGACCAACAACACCCTCACATCGATCGGACACCGTCTGCCAGGATCAGCACGTCGTCTGCCGACATCATACCTCTCTTCCACCCTTTTTTTGTTTCTTATTGTTATTTTTCTATCACATAAATATACCTGTGTTACCTCTAGTTGACAAAGACAACTGAGGTTAAGCATAGTAATGATAGGAAACTCCAGAAAAGTGAAGATCGGAAAGAAGAAACTTTATGTTTTCACCACATATGGTGTTTTGTTTTCTCAGAGCTGTGGTTGGGAACTAGGATTGAAAACGAGGTGGCGGTCTCGGCAGGCCGTGGCGATCCGCAGGACTTGGTGAGATTTGGAGCTTGGTACTGGTATTTTCCGCAGCTGGATACTGGTATTTTTGCCGCTACACGACGATATTTCTTTTGATTTGGCACGTGGAACCTTCTTCTGCTTATACCTGAGGTGCGAATAAATAGTTGATATTGTGGAAATTTCCGTCTTACTCTTCCTCTCAGGTATAGCTGGCGTGTTTGTCAGCTAACGAAGAGAAACGAAGAAAGAGTAATAAGCGATTGAGATAATCCAGGGCATCTACACTACATTAGGATTGCTAAGAACCCGGACGAATAAGACAGGAGAAGAATTGAACCACCGAATTCTTCTCTCTGAATCTCTGAATTTGATTCCGCTAAAATTTTCTTCCGCATCAGTGCACACACATTACACACTCGTACAAACAGGGCATAAGACTAGTCTAAAAATGTTAACTGCTAGGGTCGCGATATATTCGCCGAGTAGCCAGCGGCCCTAACACATCTAGGGAAACAGCCAAGTTCTCTTTCTGGGTGGCACTTTTGCTTTAGCGCTATCCGGCAGCTGCACGGCCGTTCCCTTGTACTGCTTGCTGAACTGCGCATCGAGGTGGTCGGCGAGGACTCGGGATAGAAGGAGGATATGGCTTCAACCTGCCTTTGGTGGCAGTTACTGCTTCGAGGCCTGCAGACCTTTTGCTGTTAACCTGCAGTGTCTGGTTAGCGATGTTATGTTCATTGAACTTATAAATATTTTATCAATATTTTGCAATATTTCCAATGCAAGTCTGCAGTCTTACTTACCTTCGCTGTTGCGCTGTGTCCCAAATGAAAAATGTGCAGATGTCATTGGGATTGGACGCAAAAGTAGACCCACTGGAAGACTGTGTTGCTCACCCCCTTCCTCCCCACTAACAACGCACGGTATTCGCAAGAAAGTAATGGACACTCGAACGACCTTCAAAAAGACGGCTCACAAACATCAAATAGGCAGTGGATACTAACTGGAGGTCTGAGACTCAGGGTTGTAGGCCCAATCATAGCTGCGCCCGACCTGTGTGACCCAATAACTTTATCGATTCTCACATCAACTGTCTTGCAAATCTTGATAATTTGCAATGACAGGTTGGCAAAAACCGGAACTTCAAACATTTCTTTACTGATTTTGATATGCTGCATTCATAAACAGTTTAAAGCGCAATTACAGAATGGAACTTAACTTGCAAAAACACTCGTTTAAACAAGACAAGGAAAATTTGTTGGATCGAGGAAAATTCCATCCGCGCAACTGTTTACCGTGGTTGCGCGACCATGCGCCAATAATGTTTCCCAGACGGCAGTTCAATCGTTCTGAATTTGTCGCCAAATTTCTCCTGGGCTTCCTTGTCGTCCATCTCTGGTATGACCACACATTCATCTCCGTCCTTAAAAAAAATCACGCGCATTTCAGAGGTACAACTTGCGTGACGCAGAATTTCAGCCAAAAATTAGCAGGGATCGAGAAAATCGCCAAACTTGAAGCAAAGGTATTGTCTCGCAGGACAATGTGTCGTAGCATCTTCGTGGTGGGAGTGTCAGTGGGATCACAAAAAAAAAAATATTAACAAAATTTAAGATCGTAAAACATTTAATCAAGAGGCTTTAAATAGTGACTTCAGTGTGCAATGTTAGTAACAACTGGAGACAATGAAAATGGATGATTCCATTCTTCTGAGCCTACAGATTATTAACCTGTAAATGAAATTCTTTATTTTCATGTATGAAATGCCAAATCCACATCTAATCCCTGCACTGCGCAGAAAATAAACCATTGGCACGAAAAGT